CCTCTTTTCCTTTTGCCTTGTGGATTCCATGTGAGGGCTTGTATCTTGACGCAGTTAGGTGCTTTTCGTAGTGTGTGTCCTATGCACTTCCACCGCTTCTTCTTGATTTCCTCCTCCACTGGAATCTGGTTTCTTTTCTCCCACAGTACGTTGTTGCTGATCGTGTCTGGCCAACAAATTCGAAGTATTTTGCGTAGGCGACTGTTAATAAACACTTGTATCTTCTGGGTGATGGCTTTCGTAGTTCCCCAAGTTTCCGCCTGTAGTTGTGATGCGTCAATACAAACTTGGTCATTGTGTTCATCAGTTGTCGCTGATTTTACCGTGGTCTTTATTATTATCATAATTCTACTTTTATGTTTGTTTCAGACACATTTACATCTCCTCTGCATTTTCGTTAAATTCGTTAGGCGTATACATATTGCTTCCATCTGACTTCTATGTTAAACTATTTGATACTTGAACAATTTCAGTGAACTTTTAATAGCTTTGTCGATGAAACAGATAGGAAAGGTTTTATTTTAATTTAGAATACAGGATGTCTAAAATAATTATACAAACAAGAGCGTAATAGTACTGAATGATACTACTGAAATGAAATTTTACTACTGTGAATTATTGATATTTTGTTAAATATAGTGCCATGCAGCTTAAATTGAAAATATTATTCTTTGATATTTGAATTATAAATGATAATGATGTTAATCAAACTCCGTAAAATTATTGTCATTGAGGAAATTTGATGAGATTGTTCAGTTGGTTGTTTTATTCTATTAAATCAACCTATTTAATAGAAAATCAGTGACAGTTGAGATTTAATGATTTTCAATGTTGAACGCGTTATATGTTTAGTTAGTAAAATAATATGAAACTAATTTTAAGAAAGTCTTGTTGTCATCACTTTATATAAAAAGAAAAAGAAAAAAAAATGCCCATTATTCATATCTTGGAGAACAATTAAAATTCGATTTACATGAAGATTTAAAGATTTTTCATTTATTATTATAGGGTTGTGGAAATCGTTGTATTTTATCGAAATCTTGAATCGATAGATATTAAGCCTCCATTGTAAACCTGGAAGCACTAGACGGCTGTTTTATCCTAGTATAGGATGAATCAGAAATGCACGTCCACAACACCACAAGCCTAGATTCAACCCAGTGTGTTGTACACTAGTCTCTCCAATTACTACTAATACTTTTACTACCTCTACTACTATGGGATTCGAATTGACAATTACATCTCTGTGCTAATGTGGTATGGCAACATGAACTGATGTACTTACGTACGAGGTTCTACGTTGCTGTTGATTGATTATAAGGAGTAGGCAGATGAAACGACGAGTGTCGTATCCGGATGTTTGGCGTGATCAGATTGTATTAAAGACTAAAAGACATGTAGCAGAACATAGCCAGTAAAAATGCTTGTTTTACAAATGAAAGTTTGTCGATTGTTTGTGTAAATACTTTTGCTGGTAAACTATGTTTTGTTTGAATAAATCACTTATAACATCTGGTCTTAATGTGTTCGTTCGTTACATTGGGTCACTCAGTCTCGTGTGCAAATGCTCAACCGGTTGGCTAATGTACCGGCCAGTGACACTGATTGATTCATAATCTTTTTATTTGCACTCTTATTTGGGCCAAATTATTCATAACACAATAAACAAAGATAAAAATAATACATTCATCAATCAGTCATCGTTTGACCACCATTGGAAACCTGGAATCACTGAAAGACGGTCGTTTCGTCCTGGTATGGGACACATTAGCAGTGCGCATCCACGACTCCTGCACCTCGCAGGACTCGAACCCGGGACCTTCGGTATTGTGCGCGAACGCCCAACCATCAGACCACTGGGCCGGCATCCAACGGTGTTAATGCCTACTAACTGTGATTGATCTACGGATTTTCGCGCGACCTCACACATTTGTCTTTGGTAGTTACTGACTACACCCGACAGGGTTGAACTCCATTAGTCACGTCTTCTCAACTAGAGAACTCCAAGAATTTCCTCACGAAGCTAGTCACTAGTTACGATATTTTAGGGCAGAGTTGTGTAAAAACACAAACTTCCAAAACTCTTCCCGAAAATAAGAATAACATCAATTCTTGATGAAACTTATCAAGATAAACAAAAATACTATAATTATTGGTTATAACTTAAACTACAACTAAAAACAGATAATATAGTAATTATCAATGAAATTGAAATGGATATGATTTAATGCTGCGGAGAAAAACAAACCCTCTTAATAAATGATCGTATATTTCACTATCCAAAAACCACTTAAAAACATTTTTGTTTTCTTTTTACAATCAAAACAACTAAACTCCATTTGTATCCAGATCCCACTAGAACGCGTTATTCATAAAATAATAATGGTTATAATAATAATGGTGTGAAATACTCGACGAACATTCCATACAGGATTATTACACAACCCCACACTACACTTTATCACTTCATGAAAATTACTGATACTAAAAGATTTTTTGTTTATGGAATTTAGGGATTTAAATTCCTTATTTTTTTTTACTGTCCATTCTCTAGATGGAAAAAAAAATCAAGATTTTCTGATGAAATAACATTTGCATAGATTAGAGTATTAAATATTAACTGAAATATTATTTATTATATTATGATAAACAATGAACGAATTTACTTTGTAGCGAATACTTTTTTTCGTCATTATAGGGTTGTGGAGATTGTGGAGTTTCACTGAATTCACGTATCAGCCGACGTTAGGCCACTATTAGAAACTGGAAAGTAACAATCTCTATAATCCTATGATTGCATTTATCTTGTGCGAGATATCTATCTGCTAACTAAAGGAGAAGTCTACTGAGTAGCAGTTCGCTCCGGCCTACTTTATGGGTGAGAAAAACATAGCCAGTAAGAGAAGGACATATTCGTAGATTGCTGGTTTTTGATCCTAGGTGTCTTCGCAGCATTGCTCATATATCCTGGGACAATATAGTAAGCAAAGCTGGTGTTAAGAAACGGGTACCAGCTTAAGATGGCAGATCAATTGATGAAGTATTTAACCTTCATCATTTGAGGTGGTTGGGACATGTGTTACGAATGCCCAACCTCTGACTGCCTTGATGAGCTATGTTTTATAGTGTGGAGGTGGGCCAGAAGAAAGCTAGGGGTGGCCAAACGAAAACATAACACAAATTCATGAAGTCATCGACAGTTCGACTAAGCCACCTTGGTAGGTGTTGGGGTCCGCAAGATAATAATAACCAATGGTTAGAGACTGAATAACATGGATGAAAATCGTTTGCGATTGCAGAGATGCGTCCATTCTTTGTCCTCTCTCAGGACATCATTAGCTTGGGACACTTACTTGTCTCTTTTTCAACTTATTTTACTAGATTATACTTCTTGAATAATTTCACCAGACCCTATTTTTTTGATAAATGCTAATACTTCTACTACCTCTACTACTATGGGGTTTGAATCGAAATTTCAATCGCCATGCTAATGAGGTATGGTAACTTCAAGTGATGTACATACGTACAAAGTTCTACGTTTTAGCTGAATGACTGGCTGAGAAAATTCTCGAAGTTCTAGAAATAAACCGTGACCAATGGAGTTCAACTCTCTTAGGTGTGTAGCAGTTGCCCACTAAAGACAACAGATAGGGTAGCCCAATACCGTGGATTTATTGAAGTTAAATATCAACCCCAACGGATTCGGCACCAGTGGTCTACAGGTTAGATGTTCACACGCAGAATCGAAGGTCTTTGACTTGTTCTTCTAGTGCGCAACTAGTGGATTTGCACCTACTGATGAGCGAAATGGTCGTGCAACTGGTCTAACATTGATCGACTTTTGACTTTTATGAATTGTTTATTTTCATTTTTATCGAACTATAGAACACAATTAATCAAGTAAAGATTGAAATCTAATTATCTTCTAACTTAATTAGTAAGAAGATGACAAAAAACCCTAATCGAATACCTTTATTTGTAAGTAACTAATGCGAATAGATTTCGGAAAAATATACATACATATATCAACTACGACGACTGGTCCACAAATTCACTTGATTAGATGAAAATCAAAGTCCGATTGATTCGTTCCTGTTAGGTTGGTGGAATAGAAGCTAAGATTATATTATTTTTGATCAAGTGCAATACTTATTCGGTATGACATTCATTTTAACGCAGTATAATATTTGTATGATATTTATTGAACAAAAATATCATTCTATGAATACATTTTGTGTGATATTTTTCAGTAGAACATTCAGCATTCTTTGTTAAATAATTCCGAGGAGTGCATACTCTCTAATACCTTATTGAGATAGATAATTCCTAGAGTTCTATTCAGAAACTAGAAACATGACATTCAGAGACGCAATCAATCAAACGAGTATCATCACTGATAATGGTTGAAGAAGGTCGTGTAGTATGGTGAATTGATGTAATTTAGGAAAGTAACCCACTGAACACTGACTCAATGATCATAATGTTAAACACCGACCGAGATCTTAGGTTCCTCAGTTTGATCAAACAAGGTGTTAATAGACGCATACCTAGACGCATTCCTAGTTTAAACTAATTATCTTGCTAAGATCAATTTCTAGACGTATACTATAAAATCCAACACTCTCTCTATTCAAACTCTTGGAGTCTTTCATCTTGACTTATAAAAGTTTCAATGTTTTCTTGTCTAAAGTATCCATTTTCATGATTAGAATATTTCCGGTTTTCATTCTCTACAGCCTCTTATGATACAGTGTCTTGAAACTATGTTTTCTTTTTTCACGTGGTTTTTTTTAAAACTTTTTTCTTAAGTTTATGCATTGTTCTACAGTATAGATGTTATCCTACATAAAAGTACCTGTATATATATATCACAATGTGATAATAATGAATGGCGATAAACTAAAGTTCCACATATTTTGAATTCCTTTAATACAGCACTATCATTAATCATGATATTAACATTATTATTATTATTATTTTTCTTTCAATGTTCAATTTAGCTATGTATTTCCTCCGATCAATCGATTACCTGATGCATTTCGTGACGTTCTAGGGCATTTAAAGTATGTCAAAATTATGTGATATTTGCTTTTTCTTATTATATATAAAATATTGCATCATTTTATGTGTTCATGCTCGATGCTTTCATTGCATATATACATTTATCTTTTAGTTTGTGAAATAATGCCTAGTTTATTTTGAATTTAAAAAAATATTGGCTTCGCATTGTATATATATATATATATATATATATATTTAGCTAATTTGTATTTGATGATAGAACTACTACTCAACAGGATAAAATAACCAATAGATACTTCTACTAGTATATCGTTGAGAAGTGGTGGTTATGTTTCGTATTTAATTGCGTTTATCCTAACAATTCTCATGCCATTCTCTGAAACTGAAGTACAGGTTAAATTAAAGGGTCAAATGAAATTGAATTTGAAAGTAACGGACGGCCGTTTCGTCCTGGTATGAGACTCATCAGCAGTGCGCATCCACGACTTTTGCACCTCGCAGGGTTCGAACCCAGGACCTTCGGTCTTGCACGAGATGATTGATTGATGATTTCAATGTGCAATATGTAGGATTCGTCACCAGGTACGCTTGAAGCTATTACGAGTTCACCTTAGTCGATAAACGCGAACGAGACTATTAGCAGCGTCCAGATAGGCTACCTTGAATCCCAAGCTGAAGATAGAAGACTTTGTAAGAGTTGAAAGTATATTCTACAAACACCCAGCAATCACAATACAATCAAGCACACAACTCTCGTTTATTTACACATCATAGTAACGTCCTTGGGACAGTTATGAAAATAGCACACTAAAATACACAGCAGTCAATCACAGACATGAATTTTCCTGGTAGGAAATGAAACCTCAAGGTCATCTGATCAGCCCATTTTGGCATAGATTTTGAACTGTGAGAACTGTTAGTTGTAGACTTAATGTAACGACCTCTAATTATTTTTGAGTCACAATTCAATGATCCTCATGGTCGCGTGTAGTTGTAGATAATTTGTCCCACAAACTTACTATTACTTGGTGAACCGAACGTTTGTAAATCCAAGATTATTGGCATACCCTATAAAGTTTTTTTGACACAAGAACTCCACAAATTAGATGTTATAACTAGTTATTGGTTATCAGAGAATGGTTAGTACGTCGATTCATAAAAATTAGCTTTAAAATTCAAAACTTAATTTCATACAACCAATGACTTCAAGAATCATTATGTACTAGCTATTGATTGACATAGAGTAGGATTTTCCTGGGTTCCACCAATCTGTGAGGTAATCAGTCATTAATTTCATACTAAGCAAATAACTCATCGATGACCTAAATCATTTACATTTTTATTTAGCCAATTAAAAACATCTTACTCATCAATGAGAATGGATTCAGTCTCTCGTCAAATAAGTGATGTCCCCAACTTGAGACAAAACCAACTATTCATTTCTTACTGATTTTTATTGTTTGACAACTCATTAAAGTTTGTCATAAAACATACAATCAGATTTTTTTTCGTCAAATTAAATTACGAACGATAATTGGTCTGCTATTTACTCCTTTTAACGTTTGAATAATACAATTGAAAAACCATGATTGTCAATTGCAGCAAAATTGTTAACCGGTGTTGTTAATATTTTATCAGTTGGTACTTTCATAAAATTATCAGTACTTCCTAAATGTAACTATATTTTATTTACCAGTAGTTACCACTATTTTGCACTTCTATAAATCATGATCTAATTTAGGGATAATTTTTGAAGATAAAGAGAGATTTATACTACTTTACTAGTACATTACATATATATATATATATATATATATATATATATATATATATATATATTCGCCTGTTAACATGATGATGCTAATTAATAGCTAGAAACAGAACTTAGAGCAGACAGTTGAAATTTGGATTCGCTAGTTAGATTGACCATTTAGTATCTTGCAGTTTACATCACATACTGATCTTAGACAAAATTAGGTAGCGAAGAAGCATTGAATAGCTATTTCTTTGTAGTATGGGACTCCAGACCGAAGAGCCTCAGGTCTCAGTGTGAGCTCTAAGTGTTTGAAGTCAGGATTCAATGGTTCATATTTCAAGTTTCAATAAGTTCATGATATTGTTCAACTAGATTCCATTGCTTATTGCCGTAGATTCTGCAATTGTTGAGGATGCTACTCACAAAATATCTTATAAGTAGTATGCAGCGGAGTCGCCTAGAAGTTGTTGCCAAAGAGAGGAGTGTCAGGAGGTCTAAATGTATGGCGTGATCTGGTTATTTTGAAGACCAGAAGAGGAATGCCAGAAGATAATCAACAACCTGGGATTGAATTGAAAATAGTTGAGTGATGACTATATGTACATAGTTTGTAAGCAAACTGTATTTTGTCTAGTATGTTACAATTGTGCTTACTAGGTTTCCATAGTTGTCTAGCCACAGGGAATTGTTCATATAAACTATAAAATTCAACAATCTGGACAGAAAGTTCATAATGAATTTGACCAGTATCTGTTATTGTTTCAGTAGAAATAAGTATTCTTAACCTCTAATTTCGTACATCTAAAATTTAAACTCTGGTTCGAAGAGCTTCAACACTCTTCATCTTATTCAAGAAAAAAAAATATAATCTTATACGACAAATATTATTAATAAACTAACATAGTGGTGACTGAAAGTGAGCAATATTAAAGCAAACAATTGTTTTCGACAACTTCCTTATTCGACACTTTATCCATAGTTCTAATATCCTCATTTTTTTCTGTTACAATAGACTAGTGGCAAAATTCAGGTCGATTAAGTTTGAATTTAAAAAAAAATTACTCACAAAACGAAATATTGTTATTGTTTATATTGACAGAACAGGTCATGCATAAAAGGTAAGAGAAAATTAGAGTTCCGATTAAGGTGATGAATTCTAATCAATTGAATAAAATTGTATACCAAAACAAGTTGAAACAACATGGATGAGGTCGCGCAAAATCCGTAAATCAATCAGAGTTAGACATTAACACCGTTGGATACCGGCCCAGTGGTCCGATGGTTAGGCGTTCACGCACAATACCGAAGGTCCTGGGTTCGAATTCTGCGACGAGCAGGAGTCGTGGATGCGCACTGCTGATGAGTCTCATACCAGGACGAATCGGCCGTCCAGTGCTTCTAGGTTTCTAATGGTGGTCTAACAATGACTGATTGATGATTTTAAATGTGTAAAAACACAAACCTCTAAAGCTCTGCCTGAAAAAACATGAGAATTGTCGTATCGTAGATGTTATATTACCAATACTAATGAAGGTAAGAATAATTACTCATAAGAAGCATCTTATGTAAAATGAGAAAAGGGATGCATTTGTGATCAAGGATGAAGAAAAATATCTTGGAAAGGAGTGGTGCAAATTATAATGGCGATGAGAAGAAAACCACTGGAATTAAGAGTGAAACCATCTACAATGATTTATTAATTTCGGTGTTTTTATGGAGTTAATGACTCTTGCTTTGTTGAAATGTCCCAAAATGTGCGAGTATAAATACACTTAGTATATGTAGCTGAACCTACTGTCATTAATGTAAAGAAACCTAATTCATGTTGATTAGAATTCATTACTTTAATCAAAACTCCAATTTTCTCTTACCTTTTATGTATGACCTATTTTGTCAATATTAACAATAACGATATTTCGTTTGGTGAGTAATTTTTTGTAAATTCAAACTCAATCGACCTGAATTTTGCCACTAACCAATTTATCAGATGGATCAATTCAATTGTTTTATATTTTGTAACAGAAAAATGATGATATAGAAATGTATAACAGTTGAATCTGATGAAGAAATTATCGAAAAAGATCTCTCGCTCCAAAAACTATTTGTCCTTCAATACTGTTGATTATCAATAGTGTACAAAATTATAACCTCTCGTTAATGGAGAATACGTTCAGTCTTGTTGTTTAATTTATTGCCATTCATTGACATTTAGCCGAGTCTTTAATATCCATAATAATCAATATTATTATAAGGTTGTGAAGACTATTGAATTCCATTAAAATCAAGGATTGATCAATGTTAGAGTAATATTGGACACCTGAAAGTACTGGGCTGTCGTTTCGTACTAGCACGGGATTCATCAGCAGTGCGCACACACGAAGCTGTTTGCGGGAATCAAACCCAGGACCTTCAATCTCGCGCGTGAATGCTTAGCCTGTAGACTACTGAGCCGACACCCAATAGTTTTAATGTCTAACTTCAATCAATCCATGACATTACGCGACCTCAACTACTGTCTCTGGTCATTAACTGACTCACTCTTGACTAAAGGTCTTGAGTCCGATTACTCCTTGCAGAGTCAGTCGTGGACACACACTGCTGATGAGTCCCTTACTAGTATGAATCCGCTGTCTAGTGCTTCTAAGCTCCCAGTGGCGGTCCATCATCGATCGATTCATAATTTCAACACTGTGTCAAAAACACATTCATTTCATTTTTACATTTCGTAAATCACACCATATCTTTAGTCTTTGATAAATTCTGATAAAACGGATACTGTTACACATCAGCTTTTTGTGACAAAAGAAAGTAATCTTTATATATGTTGAAATTTCAGTAAATACATAGCAACAATAAAATTCTAGTTTCCAATTTTACTGATCAAATCTGATATGCCTCAATATATCATTACATATGTAGTTATTTTAGAGCTCTTTCGTAATAAACAACTTCGAGATCAGATTATATGTACATAATAACATATTCTTATCGTTTTTTCTTCATTGATCTTTCCGGGTTTCATCAATTAAAGCTTCATCTGGGAAAAATTACTTATTATCCTACAGGATCGTGTAGATTTCCATTCACTTTTAATGCAGTTGAAATATTTCTCCCATTTTTCTCATCATTACTTCAGCTAACATTTTTCTCAAATGCAATTAATATTAGCGTAAAAAGAAATGATTTTTCCATCTTAAAATAAAAATTGGTTGTAAATAGTTAATGTTTCGTGTAGAAAACGACAATCGATTTGAACAATTTATCTTGAAAAAGAAAAAAAAGAAG